GTCTATCTAAAAGTGGCAAATTTTATATGCTAAAGTATAGGGGGTCTCCGAAAAATAAGTTATGGACCAATATCACAACGACCATTTATACATTTTAAAAGGAAAAAAAGTATATAAATATATATATAAATATATGTCCTGGGTATTTTTTAAGTTCTCTGTTGTGCTGTAAAAAATGTGTGGATTTCTAATCAGGCTGATTTTCAGAGCCATTAATATAATATTTAAAGTTGAGTTCACTGGATTATTTTTGTCTCGCCCAACGATTCTTAACTTCCAAATTAATGACAAGTGATTTCTTCTTTTTCTGTGTACAATTATGCAATAGAGTTTCTTTCGTTTTAGAGCTGTTCTTCTCGCAAGATGAGGAAATAATTTATTTTTTGCTGGTGGATTTTTTTTTAAAGGAAAAATAGACAAAGTATCTGATACTTTTTTATTATTATTTACAATGTGTGATGTTTTGTATAATAGATTTCACCTTGACCATTCTTAGGGACTATTTGCTTTAACCTGCTTCAAAATTCGTTTGTCTTATGTGGTCCTAATTGTTGTACTTACCTTAAAATAAATCCATGCTGGTTTTTTCTGCTCCAAGTCTGGCGCTTCTCTGTGTATATACTGGGTTTTTTGCAGGTTTTTTTTTTTTTCTCCCCTCACCTTTCCTTCATGCAGAAAACGTGGCACTGGTTGTTTTTAAAACCAAGTCCTTTTCCTGGAGCCTAAAGGTTTCTGATGATTATTTCTTAGATGAAAGGTTTAATTCACGTGGAGAGATGGAAACTGTACAACTGTGGTGGAGGGGAAAGAATAAGGCACTGCGCTGGCAGCCGGGGCTGAGCACCCTCAATCCGGAATCCCTGTCAGCTCGAAATTTAGGGAGTTTTCCCAGGCCTGCGATGGGTAGAACCGGGAAAACAGGAGTAGGGAAGGGGATTTCTGCTCCCCTCGCCCCATCTCTGCGAGTGCGGGCCTTGCGCAGTGCTCGGCGTGTCTCCGAGCCTGGGGCCTGATCTTTCCACGACAGAAAACAAAACAAAAAAATCCATTTTATTTATGTATTTATTTTTCTTTAAAGGAAACCTGTGAGGCTGGGAGTGGGTGCGGGTGATGAGAGTGATCACTTAAACCCGGACTCATTGTGGAGACTTCAAAAAGCAAAGTGGAAAGTTCACTTGACAATCATTTAAAACCAAATAGTTTTTAAATTTAAAAACAGTACAATTTAAAAACAGTACAGTTTTTAAATCCTCTCCTGTACTAAGAATTAGCTGATTTTAACCTTCTCTTTATCTCTTTAAGCTCTAGTTCGCAATGCTGGGCACTGCCAGATGTTGTACCTTTGCCCCAAACCATCCTTTTACCTGTTCCAGCAGCTTTAACCCAGGGCAGAAGCGTGGGGTTTAGCAAGGCTGAAAGCACGGGAATGCCGGCAAAGCCTGAAGCAGAGTTTAGGAGGGTCTTTGGGACTTTTCAAGCCCAGCTCACTGGAGCCATGTCCTTTTCCGGCTGCAAAATCTCAGCCAAACAGTATTTCCAGGGGATATTTCCCAGCCGTGCTCCTGTCCCACCTTCTGTAGCCCCCCCAATATCCCTCGTAGCCCTTTTTCTGAGTTCGGGAGTGATTATACCCGTGTCAGGCTGCTAAAATTGATGAAATAAATTGGTTTTGACCGATTAAATTTCGCATGCGCTCAAAAGCTGGCAAACAGCACTGAAACTCGATTTAAATGAGAAAAAAATGTCCGAACCTCGCTTGATCTGTATTTTAAGGAACATTCTTGTAAAAAAACTCCTGCCGTTTTTCCTGGCTCTCAGAGGGTGGTTTTTATTTTTTTTTTTAGTTCTCTTTATTTTTTAAAAATGAAATAAAATCCAAAGTGCTATTTTAAAAAGAGAAAATATATAATGTAAAGGGTAAAAAAAAAAAGTTACAAGGGAAATAATTAGAGTAAAACGATGGCTAGAAAATAAACAGGATAAAAGGGGGGAAAAAAACCGAATTGGGAAAGAATTCTCCCCCGGCTCAGACCTGCTTCCCCCGAGTTTTTCCCCCGCACGGGAACGCCGTGAGGGAGATGGCTGAAGTCAGGTGGCTGCTGTGGGTTTTCCCACAAGCGTTCAGAAATCCCGGGGCCTCCGATGCTCCCACAACTTCCCACGCCGGCCAAGGGCTCTGGGCACACGGGGACCTTTTCCTTGCCGGCAGGCAGGGCTGGGATGCCGAGGAGTGCGGTACTGGGGGTCGGGGAACCCCTGTGGCTCTGCAAGCTCCCCCCGCGCTGCTGCTGGACAGTTCCTGGGGGGTCTCAGCTTGAACCGGGTTTAGGGGTCTCATCTCGCCCTACCGCTCCTTGCTGGTGTTTTCTTTCCCGGCTTGTCCCGGTGGGACCTTCCCGCTCTGTCTCCCTCCTGGAGGTGTTCTTCCGGGCCTGGGGGCTCAGAGCATCGTCCCTTTGCTCTGTCCCGTCCTGGGGTGGGGGGTTGGACCCCACCTATCCCTCTCCCTCGGCCCCCAGTCGCCCCCATCCTCCCGCTGGGAGCCCTTTTGGGTGGGCTGGTGTCGCAGGAGAGGCGAGAGCTAAGTGCGGGATGCAGGCATGTATTTGGGACTCTCTTTAAAAGCTGAGATATGGAGGTCAACAAGGCGGTAGGCGCCTGTCGCGACAGGTGATTTCAGCCTGGCTGAAGCAGAGGGGGAGGAAGGAAGAAAGGGAGGAAGGAGGAAGGCCCAGGGTAGCTGCAGCAGCAGCCGCGGCCGGGTCGGGCTCTGCAGTCCCTCGAAGCCGAAGGACCGGTGTAACCCCCCCACCCCTGTAACCCTCTCCTCGCAGATCAGGGGGGACAAGCTCTCCATGGGGGGGACGAGCTGATGCTGCTGCGTGGCCGGTGGCTCCGGGAAGAGGATGGTGGATGGGTTTTCATATATGTATGATTTTTTTTCTTGTGCTACCTTTCACCTCCACGTTTGCAAACCTGTCTGAAAACCCAGACAGCTCCGGGTTTTGGGAGAAGGGACAGCGGTTTTCTATCTCGTCCCCACCGGGAAGGTCCCCATAACTCAGTCAAAGGAGCGTTTCTCTGGTGCTGCAGGACCCAGGTAAAACACAGTCCCCTTAGAAAGCCCCTCAGGCCTCTGCACGACCCAGGCACGAGCTGTCTGACCCCTTCCAATCAACCCCATCTTCCCCAGAGTTCGTAGGAAGGCACCGTGCAGGAGGTTTTTGGGGAAGGCCGCGAGCTCTTCTGTCGTTTTGGAGGGGAGAAGGAATTATATCCCTGAGCCCGGGGCAATACCGAGCGACCTCGCAACTGTACAGGGCCGTGCACGGCGAGGCAGCGAGGGGTGGGCAGTTCCCGCCGGGAGATAATTCCTAAGGGAGCCCAGGACGGGATGCAGCAGGAGTGGAGAGCACTGATTTACATCCTCGTTGCCCCCTAGGCTGGGGTGCAACAGGAGTGGGAAGCACTGGTTTGTGTCCTGTTCCCCCCTTCCCGGCACGCAGCAAGAATAGGAAGAACTGATTTACACCCCTTCTCCTCGCCATCCCGGGATGCAGCAGGAATGGGGAGCTCTGATTTACACCCCTGCTCTCCCCATCCCAGGATGCAACAGGAGTGGGGAGCACTGATTTACTCCTTCACTTCCACCAGTCCGGGATGCAACAGGAATAGGGAGCTCTGACTTACACTCCTTCTCCCCCCTCATTCCGGGATATAGCAGGAGTGGGGAGCACTGATTTGCGCCCTGCTCCCCCCCGAGGGCCCCGAACGGGACCTCTCCTCGCTGCTGCTGTAAAAGGGACTTGTCTGCTGGAGAGGAGGGAAAACCCATCCAGGAGCGCCTCCATCGCCTGCTCCGGTTTTTTTTTTTTCCCCGTTTAGGGAAAGAGCGACGGCCAAACAACAACACCAACAAGAATCCCTTTCTCCCACTTCCCCGGTCCCCCCGCAGCCATCGGAACCGCTCGGAGGGCTGATTCCGGGTGGATAACGCAGCGAGCTCCGGGGATGCCGCCGGCAAGAGAGGGATAACAGGGATAACAGGCAGCACACGAGTTGGGAAGAAGGAACGAAGAGAAAAGCCGCATCCCCGCCTCCAAGGATTTCCCACCGCGAAGAGGGGAAAACAAGGAAGAATTTTGCAGGGGGAGGGATCTCAGGGAGAGAGCGGGAGCCCGTGTGTCTGTCTCCTGCCGTACATGCGAGTATTTATTGTTTTACTAATCCGTGCTTGGAGTGTCCCAAGTAGCGGGGGATTCCCCGAACTGGGGAGAGGAAGGGGCTTTAGGGGGGAAGACCCTCGTCCGGCTGCCCTAAGGATGCTCCGGGCGGGTTAGAGCAGCCGGACTCCGTTCCATCCTCCCCGGCGAGGATGCTACCTGTGCGGGGAGGCTACCAGGGAGGGCTGGTCCTCAGTGCGGAGACGAGAGGAGTCTCCCCCACCTCCAACCTTTTCTTTTACCTCCCCTTTTTTATTTATTTGGAGGTTTATTGCATTTATGGCAATAAGCTGCGGATGGGTCCTGCAGCTCCCGGGGGCCGGTGGGTGTGCGCACCACGGGGGAGGGATGCAGAGTTACCGCCAAGGGCGGTGTCAGAGAGGTGATTTTCCCTCCCTCGCGTGGGGCCAGCCAGTGAGAGAAGAGACCCCCTCATCCCCCTCGCTCCAGAAACCGCCTCCCCTCGCACTCTGGCTGTGTTTCCCAGGCTCTCATGGCGGTTTGCAGCTCTCAGGACGCATCTGCAGCTCCACAGAATCGCGCTGGCTTTTACCCGGGGGATGAAACTCCTTCGTCCAAGAGGACGGGAGCAGAAGTGGACGAAAAACCCTACGGGTGAAGGGGAGTTTGCAGAGAAATCTGGGGGTGCGAAGGTCGAGGCATCGCCAGGGCCGGGTGATGCTGGGGGACAGCCAGAAGCCCGGCTTTTACCTCTTCTCATTCCAGGTAAAAGACCCACCAGGATCGTGGGAGCTTCACTGTCGGGATATTTCTCGGTGAAGGAGGAAGGGATCCCCCTCAGCCCTTTTCCTTCCCCCGGAGAAATGATGCTCCACGGAGCAGAGTCTCCTGGGGTCTCACGCAGGTCCGAGCAGCGGGGGGACTGGGGAAAGAGCCGACACCTCCAACTGCATCGGAATCCCTCGGGGCCTCGGATTAAAGCTGTTACGTCAGTAAATTAAAAAAAAAAAAAGTCCAATAACAGAAAACACAGCCCCAAACCTGGACGTTTATACAGAAAAAGAGCATCACAAATTCCTAATGTAAGCACCGGCCAGCTGTGTGCACTTGTAAAGTTGTTATAATCCCCCTCCTTGTTATAAACAGGAAAGTACATAATATAAAGCAACAGGCCCGCATTCACAAATACTGACCCTCCTCCCTGCGCCTGCCAAATTCCCCTTTTTCTGCAGATTCCCCCAAAGCAGCCCTGCCTGGCTGGGACCGGGGCTGGACGGGGAGTCCCCTCCGCCGTTCCCGGGGGTCCCCCGGGGATGAACAGCAGGGTCCCTGCATTGGGACGTGCAGGAGACCCCGCCACACCTGAGTCCCTCTTTCCTCAGAACTCCAGTCAGCCCCTTTTCCTTCCTCCTCGTCCCAGCGCTGCCTCCTCCTCTCACCCATCCCGTTTTCTTCCTTTCTTTAATTTTCTTTTTAAATAATTTTTATGTTGTTTAATGCCCCAGTTTTCCTGCGGGGATCCCTGCCCGCTCCTCCCCAGCTCCAGCAGTGTACATCCTGCTCTGCTGTGTGTGCTTACAGCGTCAAAGGGTGGACGTGATATTTCAAACATCAGATCACTGCGTTTATATATTGGGTGCCCGGAAATTTTTCCAAATAAACACAGCTTGATTCGACTTGGGTGGGCAGACTTATCAACAGACTAATTCTATAAACAAATGAAGGAATAACCCGGAGACCATTGGCTGGTACCAGCGAGACACGTGGAGAGAGCTTGGAGTTTTGTAGCAATGAAATTTTAATTAATGTGGGTGGGCTGAGAACACAAACGACTGTTTATCAGAGACAATTTATTTTCCAGTGCTAAGTCAACATATAATAGCAAACTTACAACAATTATTTAACTTTTTTTTTCCTCCCCTTTTTTTTTTTTTTTTTTTTTTTTTTTAAGAGCTATGAAGCAGGGACAGAGGCAGAGCGAGCTCCTTCAGGCAGGGCTGGGAGCTGAGCTCGTACAAACAGCTCCTCGGTGGACTCGTCCCAGGTTCCTGCCCTGCCCCGTCCCTTCGCTCGGCTCCGAGGGGGAAGACGCGGAGCTGGGAACCCGCCGGCGATGAGCCACATCTACGGCAGCCACCTCTCCCCTCTGGGCAACCCCTCCATGGTTTATCTCCCGGCTGCCCTCGGCTTCACCCCCGGGGGGGCGATCTCCCGGCAGGACCCCCCGCAGAAGCCCCCGTACAGCTACATCGCCCTCATCGCCATGGCCATCAAAGAAGCCCCGGAGCAGAAGGTGACGCTCAGCGGCATCTACCAGTTCATCATGGACCGCTTCCCCTTCTACCACGACAACAAGCAGGGCTGGCAGAACAGCATCCGCCACAACCTCTCCCTCAACGACTGCTTCGTCAAGGTGCCGCGGGAGAAGGGGCGGCCCGGCAAGGGCAGCTACTGGACCCTGGACCCGCGGTGCCTGGACATGTTCGAAAACGGCAACTACCGCCGGAGGAAGAGGAAGCCCAAAGCCCCGGGGCCGCCGGAGGCGAAGGGTGGCGAGCA